CCGTGCCGGGGCGTCCCCCCCCGACCCCGCCGCGTCCCACCTGGATGGCGAAGGTGCCCAGGACGATGGAGCAGAAGATGGGGTTGGCGAAGATGCCGTCGAAGACGTTCCTCTCGCCGTGGATCTTGCGGGCGTTGATCTCGTTGAAGAGCTGCATCATGACGAAGGTGTTGAAGATGATGGTGTAGTGCTCCGAGGGCGGCGCGTGCAGGGGGGCGTTGCGCCCGCTGTCGATGTCGAAGAAGACCTCCCCTGCCGGGGGGGCCACATCAGCCGGGGGGGGCCACCGCCGCCCGCGACGGACCCCCGGCTGCTCGCAGCCTGCCTTGGGACGGGGGACACGGCCGCGGCTGAAGGACCTCCCCCGACATCTGCCACGGGGTGTGGGACCACACTGGGGACGTGGCCACGGGCGTGGGACCTCCCCCAGCATCTCCCACGGGGCGTGGGACCACCTTGGGGACACAGCCACGGGTCTGGAACCTCTCCCGACAGCTCCCACGGGAAGCGGGACCACCTTGGGGACGTGGCCATGGGTGTGGGACCACCTCGGATGCAGCCACGGGCATGGGACCTCCCCCAGCATCTCCCGTGGGGTGCGGGACCTCCCCCAACGTCTCCCGTGGGGTGTGGGACCTCCCCCAGCATCTTCCACGGGGTGTGGGACCACCTCAGGGACGCAGCCACGGGCGTGGGACCTCTCCCCACACCTCCCAGGGGTTCCCTGGCGCAGCGGGCCCCATGTCCACGCACCGACGAAGAGGAGGGTGAAGATGATGACGAGCTGGTAGGCGGCGTGGCCCAGGATGTTCTTCAGCATGGTGCGGGAGATGAGGGGCTTGTTGCGGCCGTAGGGCTTGCGCAGCAGCAGGGCCTCCGTGGGCGGCTCGGTGGCCAGCGCCAGCGAGGCGAAGGTGTCCATGATGAGGTTGACCCACAGCATCTGCACGGACGTGTGTGGTTGACCCACCGCATCTGAACGGCCTTCAGCGGGGAGTCCTGCGGGGGCGGCGGGACAGGCGGACGGCGTCCGTCTCCCCCT